GCTATTTCAATTCTACTGTCAGTATCTACAATCTATATATAATTGGATTAATTGCCAATATTTCACATAGTATAATAGATAGCAACAGACAAGGAAACATCTGTATTTAAATTCACTACTTATTTTTTATCCAGACACAAATTGATGTAAAAATTGTTTCAGGTTTGGCTTAGTTATAGCCTTACATTGGGCTATTCCATTTAATATCCATACCCCCCCCCCCCTGTCGAGGATCCCTGGAATTCTTCAGGGGTAAAGGGTTTTGAGCTTGGAATTCTTCAGGGGTAAAGTGTTTTGAGCTTGGAATTCTTCAGGGGTAAAGTGTTTCGAGTTTGGAATTCTTCGGGGGTAAAGGGTTTTGAGCTTGGAATTCTTCAGGGGTAAAGGGTTTTGAGCTTGGAATTCTTCAGGGATAACAGGTTTTGAGCTTGGAATTTTGGAATTCTTTGAACAAGGGTAAAAGGTTTTGAGCTTGGAATTCTTCAGGGGTAAAGGGTTTTGAGCTTGGAATTTTGGAATTCTTCAGGGGTAAAAGGTTTTGAGTTTGAAATTCTTCAGGGGTATAACCATGAAAAACATGTATCCTCGACAGGGGGTGTACGGATATTAAATGGAATAGCCCATCATGCTGTCAAGTGTTTGTTTGTTAAACTTTATTGAGTACAAATTAATTCAACAATTATTTATCTAACATACAATTAAGAGCTGTACTCAAACGGACAAGGCACAAACTGGACGTAAAGTCCATTGCATGGTGCCCCTCCTTTTCCTAACATAAACCTTTTAATTAATTCACAGTATACAGTACAGGGTGTCCCAAAAAAAAAAAACCCACTGAAACAACGCACTGCCAGAATCCGAACGGCCCAGCACCAACTGAACGCAAAGATACGTAAATATGATCGACATGATGCATATAATAGTATGCATATAATAAGTGGCAATCACTTACAAAGCAAATCTATAAACAAATGTTTTACAACCTGAGAAACTTCTTAAATCAATTATTCTACAATTTATACAGATGCTACAAAAACACCTGGCATCTTAAATTTTAATAGATAACTCCATTTACAAAAGCACAAAGACCACGGGCTACAACATGTTGAGTGTTGACCATTGACCATAATGTACTGTATTGTTTAAAGCTTCAAGTTTTTAACACAAGCAAAAGCTGTCACTCCAAAGTCCTGGCAACAATATGTCAATTTAACAAAACGACAACGTGTGCGATGATTTCATTTAGCCAATTCTTTCATGGTTATAATGAATATACTCGTACTGTAGATCGATAAAAAGTCATTCATAAATACCACGCCATTTTGTAAGTATATACCAACGTCCCAATACTTTTTCATACGATTAATATCATATCCTTCGATTTATATCGTTTGATTTCGCATTCCAAATCTGATAAACATTGATAATTCTCTCTTCGCGTATGTCCACGCGTAATTCTCGCAAAAAACACGCATTAATTGTGTCGGCAGCATTGATGATCACGGCAGCCAATCAAATAACGATTTCGATTCGATTTCCCCAGAGTCATGCCACAACCTAACCCGCGAACAGGCATACTCTGGGAACGAGATTGCACTATTTGCTGCAATCTGCAAAAATAAGTTTTTTCCAACATTTTGTCATATCTCACGAACTATTGAACCAATCGAGCTGAAACTCAGCGCGTTGGGCTCAGCACGTTGCGTTTGACCGAATAGCACTATTTGCTGCAATGTGCAAAAATAAGTTTTTTCCAACATTTTGTCATATCTCACGAACTATTGAACCAATCGACCTGCAACTCAGCGCGTTGTGCTCAGCAACCTGCGTTTGACCAAATAGCACTATTTGCTGCAATGTGCAAAAATAAGTTTTTCCCAACATTTTGTCATATCTCTCGAAATATTGAACCAATCGAGCTGAAACTCAGCGCGTTGTTCTCAGCAGGTTGCGTTTGACCGAATAGCACTATTTGCTGCAATGTGCAAAAATAAGTTTTTCCCAACATTTTGTCATATCTCACGAAGTATTGAACCAATCGAGCCGAAACTCAGCGCGTTGTGCTCAACAGGTTGCTTTTGACCGAATAGCACTATTTGCTGCAACGTGCAAAAATAAGTTTTTCCCAACATTTTGTCATATCTCACGAAGTATTGAACTAATCGAGCTGAAACTCAGCGCGTTGTGCTCAGCAGGTTGCGTTTGACCAAATAGCACTATTTGCCGCAATGTGCAAAAATAAGTTTTTTCCAACATTTTGGTTTGACCGAATAGCACTATTTGCTGCAATCTGCAAAAATAAGTTTTTTCCAACATTTTGTCATATCTCACGAACTATTGAACCAATCGAGCTGAAACTCAGCGCGTTGGGCTCAGCACGTTGCGTTTGACCGAATAGCACTATTTGCTGCAATGTGCAAGAATAAGTTTTTTCCAACATTTTGTCATATCTCACGAACTATTGAACCAATCGAGCTGAAACTCAGCGCGTTGTGCTCAGCACGTTGCGTTTGACCAAATAGCACTATTTGCTGCAATGTGCAAAAATAAGTTTTTCCCAACATTTTGTCATATCTCACGAAGTATTGAACCAATCGAGCTGAAACTGAGCGCGTTGTGCTCAGCAGGTTGCGGTTGACCGAATAGCACTATTTGCTGCAATGTGCAAAAATAAGTTTTTTCCAACATTTTGTCATATCTCACGAACTATTGAACCAATCGAGCTAAAACTCAGCGCGTTTTGCTCAGCAGGTTGCGTTTGATCGAACAGCACTATTTGCTGCAATGTGCAAAAATAAGTTTTTCCCAACATTTTGTCATATCTCACGAACTATTGAACCAATCGAGCTGAAACTCAGCGAGTTGTGCTCAGCAGGTTGCGTTTGACCGAATAGCATTATTTTCTGCAATGTGCTAGAATAAGTTTTTTCCAACATTTTGTCATATCTCACGAACTATTGAACCAATCGAGCTAAAACTCAGCGCTTTGTGCTCAGCAGGTTTCGTTTGACCGAATAGCACTATTTGCTGCAATGTGCAAAAATAAGTTTTTTCCAAGTTTTTTTCATATCTCACGAACTATTGAACCAATCGAGCTGACACTCAGCGCGTTTAGCTCAGCAGGTTGCGTTTGACCGAATAGCACTATTTGCTGCAATGTGCAAAAATAAGTTTTTTCCAACATTTTGTCATACCTCACGAACTATTGAAACAATCGAGATGAAACTCAGCGCGTTGTGCTCAGCAGGTTGCGTTTGACCGAATAGCACTATTTGCTGCAATGTGCGAAAATTACTTTTTTCCAACATTTTGTCATACCTCCCGAACTATTGAACCAATCGAGCTGAAACTCAGCGCATTGTGCTCAGCAGCTTGCGTTTGACCGAATAGCACTATTTGCTGCAATGTGCAAAAATAAGTTTTTCCCAACATTTTGTCATATCTCACGAACTATTGAACCAATCGAGCTGAAACTCAGCGTTGTGCTCAGCAGGTTGCGTTTGACCGAATAGCACTATTTGGTGCAATGTGCAAAAATAAGTTTTTTCCAACATTCTGTCATATCTCACGAACTATTGAACCAATCGAGCTGAAACTCAGCGCGTTGAGCTCAGCAGGTTGCGTTTGACCGAATAGCATTATTTGCAGCAATGTGCAACAATAAGTCTTTTCCAACATTTTCTCATATCTCACGAACTATTGAACCAATCGAGCTGAAACTCAGCGCGTTGTGCTCAGCAGGTTGCGTTTGACCGAATAGCACTATTTGCTGCAATGTGCAAAAACAAGTTTTTTCCAACATTTTGTCATATCTCACGAACTATTGAACCAATCGAGCTGACACTCAGCGCGTTGTGCTCAGCAGGTTGCGTTTGACCGAAAGCACTATTTGCTGCAATGTGCAAAAATAAGTTTTTTCCAACATTTTGTCATACCTCACGAACTATTGAAACAATCGAGATGAAACTCAGCGCGTTGTGCTCAGCAGGTTGCGTTTGACCGAATAGCACTATTTGCTGCAATGTGCGAAAATTACTTTTTTCCAACATTTTGTCATACCTCCCGAACTATTGAACCAATCGAGCTGAAACTCAGCGCATTGTGCTCAGCAGGTTGCGTTTGACCGAATAGCACTATTTGCTGCAATGTGCAAAAATAAGTTTTTCCCAACATTTTGTCATATCTCACTAACTATTGAACCAATCGAGCTGAAACTCAGCGCGTTGTGCTCAGCAGGTTGCGTTTGACCGAATAGCACTATTTGCTGCAATGTGCAAGAATAAGTTTTTTCCAACATTTTGTCATATCTCACGAACTATTGAACCAATCGAGCTGAAACTCAGCGAGTTGTGCTCAGCAGGTTGCGTTTGACCGAATAGCATTATTTTCTGCAATGTGCTAGAATAAGTTTTTTCCAACATTTTGTCATATCTCACGAACTATTGAACCAATCGAGCTGAAACTCAGCGCATTGTGCTCAGCAGGTTGCGTTTGACCGAATAGCACTATTTGCTGCAATGTGCAAAATAAGTTTTTTCCAACATTTTGTCATATCTCACGAACTATTGAACCAATCGAGCTGACACTCAGCGCGTTGTGCTCAGCAGGTTGCGTTTGACCGAATAGCACTATTTGCTGCAATGTGCAAAAACAAGCTTTTTCCAACATTTTTCATATCTCACGAACTATTGAACCAATCGAGATGAAACTCAGCGCGTTGTGCTCAGCAGGTTGCGTTTGACCGAATAGCACTATTTGCTGCAATGTGCGAAAATTACTTTTTTCCAACATTTTGTCATACCTCCCGAACTATTGAACCAATCGAGCTGAAACTCAGCGCATTGTGCTCAGCAGGTTGCGTTTGACCGAATAGCACTATTTGCTGCAATGTGCAAAAATAAGTTTTTCCCAACATTTTGTCATATCTCACGAACTATTGAACCAATCGAGCTGAAACTCAGCGCGTTGTGCTGAGCAGGTTGCGTTTGACGCAATAGCACTATTTGCCGCAATGTTCAAAAACAAGTTTTTTTCAACATTTTTTGATATCTCACGAACTATTGAACCAATCGAGCTGAAACTCAGCGCGTTGTGCTCAGCAGGTTGCGTTTGACCGAATTGCACTATTTGCAGCAATGTGCAAAAATAAGTTTTTTCCAACATTTTGTCATATCTCTCGAACTATTGAACCAAATCGAGCTGAAACTCAGCGCGTTGTGCTCAGCAGGTTGCGTTTGACCGATTAGCACTATTTGCTGCAATGTGCAAAAATAAGTTTTTCCCAACATTTTGTTATGTCTCACGAAGTATTGAACCAATCGAGCTGAAACTCAGCGCGTTGTGCTCAGCAGGTTGCGTTTGACCGAATCGCACTATTTGCTGCAATGTGCAAGAATAAGTTTTTCCCAACATTTTGTCATATCTCACGAAGTATTGAACCAATCGAGCTGAAACTCAGCGCGTTGTGCTCAGCAGGTTGCGTTTGACCGAATAGCACTATTTGCAATGTGCAAAATTAGGTTTTTTCCAACATTTTGTCATATCTCACGAACTATTCCACCAATCGAGCTGAAACTCAGCGCGTTGTGCTCAGCAGGTTGCGTTTGACCGAATAGCACTATTTGCTGCAATGTGCAAA